TACAAAAATACATACATACATACAACAATTAATTAAAAAAAAAAAAAAAAAAAGAACTGCAGAGGCCAGCATGGCTCGAGCAGAGTGAGGGAGAGAGAAGAGGAGTTCGAGAGAGGGCATGTTAAGTACCAGGGCCTTTTAGGACATCGGAGAGACCTTTTTGGCTTCTGTCCTAAATTAAATGGAAAGCCCTTGGAAGGCTTTGAACTGAGAAATGACATGATATTATTTATTTTTTCAAATGATTTCCTCTAGCTCTATGCTGTCCAATATGATAACCATGAGTCACACCTGACTATTTAAACTTAAATTGGGCCAGCAAATGGCATGGTAGTTATGCAGGCTGGATCCCACATGGCCAACCACATAGTTCAAGTCCCAGACCAGGCTGTTTGAGAAACATGCTAGGTGTATGTGCATGCATGCCTAAAATCCTGAAAGGAGAAATGGAAGAAGGGATTGTGGCATGGCCATACCCCATGGGGATTCCTCCAACTCTCTGTCTCTTTTCATCAAATACACAAACCCCCCTGGAAAAAATTTAAAATATACATTAAAGTGACTTAATTTAAATTAAATTTAAAATTCAGTTCTTCAATCACACTGGCAACGTTTCAAGTACTCAGTAACCACATGTGGCTAGTGGCTACCAAAATGGGCCTTGGAGATACAGAATATTTCTCCCTGGGAACCAGCAGTTAGCGTAATGGCTATGTCGCTGGACTCCCACATAGTCGACCGCGGTTCGCGTCTCGGACCCGGTGGCTTAAATCTCACGCCGGGCGCGTGTGCGTGCGTGCCCAAGATCCTGAGAGGAGAATGGAGGAGAAGGGATTGCGGCATGACCATCCCCCCTGGGGGGTGATTTCTCGCTTTCTGTCTCTTATGTCTCTGTCTGTCTGGCGAGCGCACGCACCCTATAGCAAAAAAAAAAAAACCTCTCCAGAATATTTTATGGCCCTGAAAGCTCAGCATAAGGTGCTGCTCTAGCTATGTGGTCTCTTCTGGCATGCAGCTCTTGCAGAATTTCCAGTTTTTAAAGGGGCAGTTAATCATTTTGGATTTTGTAAATGAAAGCCTAGATGAAATAGTTGATTTTATCTAACTCAGAATTTGTAGACAAAGAAAAGTCAAGCGAGGCCCCTAGGAGTGGTTTTTTTTTTCCTTCTAGAATGCGCCCACCTCTGAGTTGTATAAACATCTCTCTTTCTTGTATTTACTTATTCAGGTCCATTTCAAGGATCTCGTTGCACAGTGTTAGCCAGTAACTACCACAGAGTGCTGCCTTGCCAATATCAGTTACTTCTAGAAGGTTCCAGTCTTAACAGAATATTCTATTTTCTTCTTTTTTTTTTTCTTTCCAATTTCCATATCATGAAGGGTATTTGTGTGTGTGTGTGTGTGTGTGTGTGTGTGTGTATAGAGATTTTTTGCCTTAGGTCACATACACTCACTAGAGAGAGACAGAGACAGTGAGAGGGAATTTAAAAAATTACCCTCAGCAGGGATGGCCACACCGCAATCCCTTCTCCTCCATTCTCCTCCTGGGATCTTGGGCACGCACGCACACGTGCCTGGCGTGATTGAAGCCACCAGGTCCAGGACTCAGACTGCCGTGGACCATGTGGGAGCCCAGCACTGTAACCACTGCACCATCCGCTGGCATGAAGATATTTTAAAGAAAATACATTTCCCAGCCTTCTGGAATGTAGGCTAGATTAGAAAATAAATTCCTGAGAGCATACCATTCTACCCTGAAACATGGACCTCCGGAATTTGTTCGCAAACTAATGATAAAGTAATGGTTTTGGCTTTAGGTCTGGAGATAATGCAAAGCATCCTTAGTGATTCCAGAATAAATGAAGTGATGAATCTTTCCATTATGAAATGTCGACACGTATGATGATGTGATTTTTCCTTCCTTCCACAGAGCGAGCAGTTGCTTATTTTGAAACCACTGAGCAGATTCTAGACAATGAAGATGATGTCCTTATTCAGAAATCATCCTGCAAAACCTTCTGCCACTACGTAAATGCCATTAACACTGCACCGAGGAACATCGGAAAGGATGGCAAATTCCAGATTTTAGTTTGCCTTGGAACACGGTATAAAGCCAGTGTTATTTTCCCTGTCTGTGTTACGTGCTGAACCAGAGTGCTGATGGGGTTAGACCAGATCATGCCCCAAAGGGCTCCCTTGGTTTTCTTTCATTCCACATTTTATTATGAGACTACTATTTTTTAGAGATCACTGTGCTAAGTACTTTACCTGCATTATCCTCCTGTCACTTAATCCTCCTGCCACCACTCATGAAATAGTAACTGATTTCTCCATTTTATCGGGAAAGTCACGACACATATTTGCATAGAAAACCATAGGTCCAGTGGAATCGGTAAGTGGCATGGTGGCTAAGGGTACTGGACTCCCACATGGCCAACCATGGTTTGAGTCCTGGACCTGGCAACTTGCTTTCTCACTTTCTATCTTTCTCTCTCTCTCTCTCTCTTGCTCTGTCTCTGGTCAAATTAAAAATAAATAAAGTAAAATAAAATAATTCTTTAATAAAAAGAAAACCATAGGCCCAGGATGTGAACTTGTGGTCAGCCATGTGGGAGACTTCCACCTTAGCCACCACACCACCTGCTGACCCCAACAATGCATTAGTTTTTTTTTAAGAATTATTTTATTTAGCTGTATGTATGTATATATGTTTGTAACCAACCAACCAGAGAGGGACAGAGTGAGAGAGAGAGAGAGAGGCGGAAGGTGAGAAAGCAAGGCTCCAGGCCCAGGACTCAAACCACGGACTAGTGTCTAGAATCTTTTTAGTGTCTTTTTCTCCTAAATCTTGTGATTCAGGATAGCCTAGTATGGTTGCCCTGTCACAAAAGGCAGATTGAGGGATTTTAATACAGACGGATATCTTAGGTACCTAATGGCACATTACTAATGTCAGAGTTGGATAGGAAGCATTGAAGATGGGAGATTTTTGTCCTCCTTAAACAGCTGGTCTACAGAACTAAGTTCTGTGTTTCTCAGTAAAAGGGGCCTAATTTCAGCTGTGCTTTAAGGCTCTTTATGAGCATGATCTTTCTGTCCTTTTATCCCTGCACCATTTTGATTCAGTAGACTAGGTGGAAACTCTCTTCTAGTTTATTAATCCTGCAGAAAGACCAGCCAGTGGGTGAGGTGGTTAAGGCAGCTGTATCCAACATAGCCAAATTGTGTAGTTCAAGTCCCAGATCCAGCTGCCTGAAAAACATGCCAGGCACATGTGTGTGCATGCCCAAAAATCCCGAGAAGAGAATGGAGGAAAAGGGATTGTGGCATGGCCATACTCCATAGATGGTGCTTTCTTACTTTCTCTCCAGCAAGCTCACACATCCTATAGTAAAATCCAAAACAAAACAAGATAAAAAACTTACTGAATATCTGCTTTGATTTCGTTCCTTATCTCTTTATGTTGTATAAGTACCAAAAAAAGAGTCCCTACTACTTAATATTGTCTTGCTACCCAAAAAACGTCACCGTATTCTGGCGTGCCTTGCCACAGAATAATACCTCTGTAAAAAAGATAGAAAATAGTTGTAACAGCAGATGGTGTAATGGTTATGTCGCTGGAGTCCCACGGGCTAGCCACAGTTCGAGTCTCAGACCTGGAGGCTTAAAACTCATGCTGGGCGCTTATGCATGTGTGCCCAAAATCCCAAGAGGAGAATGAAGAAGAAAGGATGTGGCATGGCCATCCCCCCGGGGGGTGATTTCTCAATTTCTGCCTCTCTTTTTTTCTGGTGAGTGCACACTCCCTAATAGTGAAATCTCTCTCAAAATAAAAAAGACAGAAAATAATATTCTGCCTCTTTTTAATTTATTTAATTAATTTATTTATTTCCAGTTGTTGTTATTATTATTATTATTATTATTATTATTATTATTTTAACTTGACCAGAGACAGAGAGAAAGGGAAAGGGAGAAAGCAAGCCACCAGGTCTGGGACTTGAACACGGTTGGCTATGTGAGAATCCAGCAACTTTAACCACCATGTCACCTACTGGCAACTCATTTTAATTTTTAATTTAACTTTTTTTATTTTGCTAGAGGTCACATGCACTCACCAGAGATAGACAAAGAGATAAAAGTAACCCCCATGGAATGTGGTCACACCTCAATCGCATGTCCATTTCTCCATCCTATTAGGAATTTGAGCTTGCATACACATGTAACGAGTGTGTTTTTCAGGCCACCGGCTTGGAACTTGAACTGTGCAGTCAGCCATGTGGAATCCAGCTCCCTCAACCACCATACCATGGGGCCAGTCCTATATTGTCTCTTTTTAAAAATAATAAAATCACAGGAACAGCAGGTGGCAAGGTGGTTAAGGCGTTGGACTACCATGTGGTCCTCTGTGGGTCTAGTCCCAAACCTGGTGGCTTGCTTTCTCACTTCCTCTCTCTCTCTCTCTTTTTCTCTGTCCCTCTTTGGTTAGCACATGTGCCCTACAGCAAACTTAAAAAAAAAAAAAAAGAATAAATAACGCTTTAAAATAAAGATGATAAAATCAGGATAAAGAATTCTCTGATACGCATCGACTTCCTAATGTAAGTTTAGAATCTGATGTGTTTTCCCATTAGCTTTACACTGTCTCATTACTGTCTTTTTATCAGTAATTATTCAAATTCTTCGCTTTGATTTCCAATCTGCTGACCTCAGGGCTTGGCTGGATTTGCACTCTTCAGCCTCACGTCTCTTCGGGTGAAACACCCCTAGGTGCATTGTTCTGCAGGAGGCCAGCCCTGCTCAGGAGCTGTTTCTGTTTCTGTTTTGTCTGTAGGGATCGCCTGCTCCCACAGTGGATTCCGTTGTTGGCCGAATGTCCTGCCATTACTCGAATGTATGAGGAGAGTGCCCTCCTGCGAGACCGTATGACCGTCAACTCCCTCATCCGAATTCTGCAGACCATTCAGGACTTTACCATTGTCTTAGAAGGATCACTCATCAAAGGAGTGGATGTGTAGCCCAGCTGTCTAGAAACTGTCAGTCCAAACCCCTTGCTCCCGAACCCAGCCCCACGATGGGGACCGGTGGACTTGTCTACAAGAGTGAGTCCTGCAAGGGGCAGCCCATCATATGCCCCGATTTGAACAATCCTCACTCTACAGACAAGGCAAAATGCTGTATTGTAGTTCATTTGAACCTGGAATTTAGTATAAAATAGAGTATTTTCATGTGTTAGATGTGTGTAAATATGCTATCTTCTTTAAGAAATTATATTACTCTAATAAGATACTTTTCTTAGGTTGAATATTCCTGTGACTTAAAATAAGTAGCTTACACGTGGTGAGTTGGGAGGGAAGCGTGGTGCTAGTCAGCAAGAAGCCAGTAAATGTGAACCCAGCGCAACCCAGACAGGCTTTCTTTCCCTCCAGGTATCGCAGGGGAACCAGAGCGCTGTGCTGTGCGGTGGTGGCCAGCCCCCTGCTGTCTGCCCTGAATGGTGAATGTATACAGCTTTACCTACCGTGTGGATAGGCCTCACTTCTGTCTTCCCTTTCCATTGTGAGTCCCTTCTCCAGTGTTTGGGAAAAAAATTTCAGTCAGCACAAGAGGAAGATGTAATTCAAGTATTTTAAATACTAGCCCCCACGAGCTTGGCTGAAGGGGAAAGAGAACACACGAAGCCCTGAGAAGCATGTGATATTGTGGGATTATAACTTCTTTACTCTTTGGAACAAGTAGCCCAGACTAACGTCACTCTTGGCATTTTTATTCTTGCTGTTGGAGGTACTTAGAGGAGACGTGTTGGCCTCCTCGTCATAAGCTCTGCAGACAGCGTTGGAGCCTGCCCTTTCCCTGGCCGTCTAATCTCTGCAGTGGGCTCCACCTCTCCAGAGTAATCAGGAGCCCACTCTGTTAGGTTCCAGCCACCCCGTGCCCTTTCCCCCTCAGGAAATGGAAGGAATGTCTAAGAAGGAGGAGGTCTCTATGTGACTTGGAATGTTTTTGTGGAAGTATTTGTTGACCATGTTAATGCAAATAACAGAAGGAGGGAGAAAGAATGAACCCTTTCTGGGTGTTTCAGAGTATTCATGTAAAAAACTGGCCCAGAGGAGTTAAACGCCACTGCAGCGCAGGCTAACAAAACGGAAGCGAAAGAAGGGGCAACAATTAGTAAAGACCAAAAGTTGCAAGTAGCTTCTCAGCTTGGTATGTTATGAAGAAGTTAAGTAATTGTGTGTGGAGTTAGTTCCCCAAGTCTTCGTCCTTCCCATGTCCTGTAGCTCATTAGCATTTACACGTCGTTAGCCGTGAGATCGCCTCAGCCAGCTTTATTCCCAGTTGTAGCTGGAAAGCAAATCCCTGTCCTCTCGGGATGCTCGTGGCACCTGGGGACCCGCGGCTGTAGCCAGCAGTGTTGTTTCTCTGTTTTCTGGAGGAAGAAGTGAATGGAACAGGTACCTCACTCGCTTTACTGTAGTCAGCCACTGTATTCAGCAGAGGGACATCCCCGTTACAGGTGCCCTCATACTTGAGAGTTGCGAAGGCTGCATTTAGAAGCCCATGCAAGGGGTTTAAAGGACAGTTCTGGGTGACCTGAATAAGTCTAGAGATTTGCTCACTGGAGGCTAAGGCATGTTGACAGTAGTGTGGCTATCCCAGGGACAGGGAAGGCATCCAGAACTTGCTTGACATCGAGTTCCTTCTGAGTTTATGGTCAGAGGATATAGTATGACCCAGACCTTCATGCAAGTCCCATAAGGCCTTGCTTCTGACAGACACCGGGCAGCCAGAGAGATCCTGCAGATGAGGTGCTAGAACTGAACCACTGTCCAGCCTCCTCATTTTATAGATGCAAACACTTATGGATCAGAGAGATTAAATTCTTACTCTTACCCCACAGCTACTCGTTGACAACATAGGGTCTAGAATTTGTATGTATTTATTACATCAGGCACCCATGTCTTCCTGCCATCCTACCATCATGTTTTTCTACCGTTCAGGCATGGTAGCACGCACCTGAGTCCCAATACTCAGGAGGCAGGAGAATTGCGAGTTTGAGGTCAGCTTGGGCATTAATACTAAGACCCTGTCTCTAAAAAGAGGAAAAAAAGTGTTTCTGCTGTTGGATCTTTATTCATTCACCTATACAGGTAGGAAATAAGGATTAATATTCATTTTTAATATTCACTTATAAGGATTAATGTTCACTTTAACACATTGCTCTTAAGTTATTGGGAGTTCCATCAGCTTGAAAACTGGGAGCAAAGTTGATTTGGGGGGCCTGTGAGTAAAACCAGTTCTTTAAAAAGTAATGTTAAATAAACATTTATACTAAAGTTTGATCTTGCTCTGAATAGCATAACCTTAACAGTAAAATGACTGATTGGAAGAAACGCTTTAGAATCAACACATCTTCTCCATGCCTAGTCACCCTAGGAGGCCAGGTACTGACCCGGACACTAAACACAGGGGCCCTCCTGTGAACGCTTGAATGGCAGAACCATTCTTTTGAATTTCCCCATGGTGGTAAATCATGGCCTTTGAGAATAAATTTAATATTTGCAAACAGCACCAAGTCCTTAGGGTCCATGTTAAATAAATGAAAAGGATACTTAAGCTGAGTTTGGGAAGTGCAATTATGAAGTTCTTATGCAGCTTAGAATGAGTACCAAAATACCCTGAGCCCAACATTAGCAGAATCCTTAGAATAAACATGTATAACCTTTCAAGCTGACTTTTGGGAGGATCATACCCACTTAGAAACATGCTGTTATGCTAATTAAAAAAAAATCAGTATATTGCAGGACCAGCAGATGGTGTAATAACTACATCACTGGACTCCCATGTAGTCAGCTGTGGTTCAAGTCTTGGACCCAGTGGCTTAAACTCACGCCGGACGCATGTGCGTGCGTGCCCAAGATCCCTAGAGGAGAATGGAGAATGGATTGTGGCATGGCCATCCCTCCTAGGGGGTGATTTCTCGCTTTCTATCTTTCTGTCTCTCTGGAGAGAGAGAGCGTGTGCCCTATAGCAAAAAAAAAAAAAAAGAAAAGAAAAGAAAAAAGAAAAAGAAAGAAAAAAGAAAAACCCTCTTCAAAAAAAATTTAGTATATTGCTTTGGAATTGCACCTCAAAGTTAAAGTCATAAAAAGGTTAAAAGAAATTTTTTTTTGCTTTTGCCATAGGGCACATGCTCTGCCAGCAAAGAAGCAGAGAGAGACAGTGAGAAATAATCCCCCTAAAGGAATGGCCACATTGCAGTCCCTTCTCCATTCTCTTCTTGGCAGTTTGGGCACACATGCACATGTGCCCAGTGTGGTTTTCAGCTGCTGGGTCTGGGACTCGAACCACAATCTATCATGTGGGAGTCTAACACCTTAACCACCACACCACCTGCTGGCCTCCAGAAATCTAATTTTTAATTGACTTTTCCTCCAGATAACTTAAAAGTAAATGCCTGGGACCATAATTCGTATTTTCATGTAATGATAGCTTGAAAAGAAATTGTTTTAAAATTAAATTTCCAGAAGTATTAAGTCCTACACTTATTTCTCAAGTGTTTTCCATATATTCTGAAATCCCTACACTCCACCTTGAGGATCCAGTGGCTTTACACCAATGTAGACAGGCCGTGTGAGCTCCTGAATCTGTCCCCTGGTCACTAGCACCTTAGAGAGGACTGAGGCTCAGTGCGAAGCAGTGTAACCCGGGATCCCAGGTGGGAAAAGCAGTCTGTGGAGAACAGAAGTAAAGCCCGTCAACTCTCCCACCCTGTTTCCCACTGGGAGTGAGAACATGATATAGGAAACTTGAAAAAACTTGCAGAAGTTTGCATTTCCTCCAAAATTTATTTTAAATGTTTCACATATTTTTGTATCTTTTGTAACTCTGTGCTGTTTCCTTTAACATGGCTTTTTCTTTAAAAAAAAAATCATTTTAATGAACTTCTGTCACACTATATGAATGATATAGGGGAAATACGAAATTCCTTGTATTTCCTTTTTTGGCAATAAAGCACTGTTGTATGTAAATGTAAGTGAAAAGAGAAATTAGGACTACATAACAGTGTGTACTGTACACATTACATGTGTGTTATATGTTGACACCCCTAAGGTATGTTGAAAAATGAGGCAACAGACAAGGACTTCAGATTCCCAGGGAAGTATTTATTTGACAGTATTGGGAGTGTAGCTCTTCATGATTAAAATATCTTCATTCTGCAAAGAATAATGTTTTTCAATAGATTAGTCATTTCGGGAACTGTGAGTATTCTCTGTGAGGTTTACAGAAGCTCGTTTTTCCTTTTCACTTGTTGGAAGGACAGTCTGAACTTGGGCTCTTTATATTTCAGTATTAACACACCTTCATTGATTGAGAATGGAGTCTCGAGCCCTTCTCTACTTTTATAAAGTGAATCCTTTCCAGGTCATCTGCGTCTTTTGAAGTCCCTGTTTCTTATAGACGTATTTATTATATTAACATTTAGCATAAATAGGAGACAGAAAAGAATATTGAACTGCTAGTTCCTTATCCCTGTCAAAACACGTTTCTACATCTCTTGAATCAAACTGAATTCCAAGGTTTTTGAAGGAGTTGCTGATGTAGTAAGATCAAAGAGCCCAAGGAGAACCTCCTTCCAAATCCTCCTAGAGCTGATCCCCCTCTTGATGTGATGACGATTGTCTTCAGCCAGGTATCACACTGAGCCATTGACAGGGGAGTGGAAAAGATTGATCAAAGGTGATTTGTCATGGGAAGGAATCTGGGGTACCCTTGGGTGATGTGGGAGGAAATCATGCTTGATCAAGTTACCTGAACATGCTCATGGGTGGATCCCATTGTTCTAAGCACCAAATCTCGTTGACAGGAGACAGGGATAGATAGTAAGAAGTTCCTGTTGTCGATCAAATGAGGGTGTGAGACATATAGAAAAAGTCGTCTGTGTTACACTTGAACCATGTATAAATGTACCCTGTGTATCTTTTTTAAAAGTTAGCATTTCTGCATTTAAATTATATTGTTTTTCTTTGTATTGTTAACAAAGTGCATCAGAACTGGATTTTGTTTTCTCATCTGAACATAATATAAAATTTAAAGAGTATTGTGATATTAAGCACTTTAACATACATATCAGAGAAACTGACATGGGTTTTTCAGGTTTTGGAGTACATTTAAATATGACTTTTCATGCTTTGTTCTTTACAAATAAAACTGTGGGGTTGATAGTTTGTTTT